TTCGATGACGTAGCGCTTCGGGAATGTATGGTCGAATGACTCCCACAGATGTGTCACACGTGAGAGGGTGCGGTGAGTCGTCGACTGCATATTCCATGAGGACAAATGAACTAAGTTGATCCCGTAGGGTTTGAAGTTCTTTATCGTTTTGTTGAGCTGCAGCGATATCAGCCGTGGATATTGCTGTGGACATGTCGATTGCTTCGACATGCGAGAGCGCATCCGCCACAATGTTGTCTGTCCCTGCCACATGGAGAATCGTCGTGATGAACCGGCTGATGAACGATAACTGCCTTGCTTGCGTAGGTGAAGCCTTTTCTGCCGGGAGCGGTGCACTTTGACACGGTGCATTTGGACACAGCCAATCACAGCACCGTATGATTAGAGACATTTGTAGGGTCCCTTGGAACAGCGACTTGTGATTGGACTGTGTCCAATTGCCCCGTGTCCAACTGATATACACCCTTTTCTGCCTTCTGAGCAAACGCATATATAAGTGGCTTGTGGTCGGTGCGAATAACGAGCCGGCGTCCTTCGACCATGAACTTGAAATATTTGAGACCCTCGTAAATAGCGAGCAGCTCCCTGTCATACGCACTCCACCCTTGCTTACGCGGAGGTAGCTTTTTCGAAAAAAATCCGAGCGGTCTCCACGCGTCGTTGATCCACTGCTCTAAAGCTGCGCCAATAGCCGTATCTGACGCATCCGTGACTATTGAGAGCGTGGCGTGACTATTGAGAGCACACCCCACGGGGTGTGCGAGAAGCGTAGCTTCGGCGAGGCTTCTCTTGCACTCCTCGAACGCTCGTTTGGTTTCCTCAGTCCAGGGAATCGGTCGCCTGTCGTTTTTCTTGCTGTCTCTGAGGAACGCGTTAAGCAGCGCTTCATTTTTGACTGCATTCCTGATGAATCGCCTATAAAAGTTGATTATAGGAATCTGCGAAGCTCCACGATTACTCCAGGTAGTGGATAACTTCGAATGGCTTCGACCCTATTGGGTGCGGGCCGCGACTCCTCGTTGTCGATGAGGAATCCCAGAAATTCGATTTTGCACACTCCGAAGATGCATTTGGACACATTGATGGCGAGACCGTAATCGCGCAATCTCTGGAAGACAAGCTGAAGGTGCTCCTTGTGTTCTGCCTCCGATGCTGAAGCAATGAGAACGTCGTCTATGTAGCAGTAAACAAAGTCAAGTCCGCGTAGAACTGTGTCCATGAATCGCTGAAAACTTTGCGATCCGTTGCAAAGTCCAAAGGTCATCACCGGAAATTCAAAAAGTCCAAACGGTGTGATGACGGCCGTCTTCGGTATGTCAGCCTCGTGTACCGGAATCTGCTAGTAGGCTCGCACCAGGTCCAGCGACGAGAAAATGCTCTTCCCATGAAAAGCATGCGCGAAGTCCTGCAAGTTGGCGATGGGATACTTATCCGGCACCGTGACTGCGTTAAGGCGCCGATAGTTCCCACACGGACGCCAAGTTCCGGGTTGCTTTTTTGGCACTAAATGTAACGGACTAGCTCACGGACTGCTAGACGGCCGGCAAATTCCCCTCTTTAGCATGAATTGGAACTCGGCCTTTGCTGCCTTATACTTCTCCGGGGGTAGTCGCCTTGCCCGTTCGGCAATGGGCGGTCCTTTAGTGACGATGTGATGCTCGATGCTGTGCTTACGGTGTGCCGTGCAGTGAGTGTTCCTCGTTATCTCCGGAAAATCCACCAGCAACTGGTGAAAAGCTCGTGAAGTATCGAACGTTGAGAGATCATGCGCGCTGGTTGCGCGCACTTCTCCTCGAGTTGATAACCCAGTAGTCTGGTCGATTAATGATCCTCGATGCAACGAGACATCGAGCCGATGATACTTTAGGAAATTGGCCCCTAGAATCGGTGTGCTGACATCGGCGATCACAAGGCGATTTATTGTGCATTTAGCGGATTATGCGTCGCAGTGCTGTATGAAAAATGCATCGCTCAATCCAATATTTCTCAAAAATTCCGGTATTGAATTCTGAATTTTCAATGAAAAAAGTTTCATACTCATGAAAAATTACGCATTCATAAAAAATTGCAACTCTTTTGCAGGTCAGCGAGAAAATACAAATTTTGGAGTAATTGCTAAAAGTTTCCCATGTGATCAAGGAGAATAATTTTGTTATGACTTATCGATCTTCATCTCCATTCCAAAGAATGATTTTGATCGGTTTAATTTTTCGAGGAAACGCGAATATCGAGAATGGAACGGTCGTTATCTCACGGAAAAATAAAGTGCAAAGTACTCTTACTACGGCAAGAACCGCCAGGTGAAATCTCTTCTGAGACCGAGATCGAGCGTAATAATGCGCTTGCCGTAGACCTTGATGGGTGTACCGTTTGCTGCAAACAATGAGGATTCGAGCGATCGTTGTCCCTTAATCGGTGGGATCGCTGAGACTGTCGCTCCGGTATCCGCCAAATAGATGGCACTGCTCTTGACATCAGTGACATGGAGGCGGTCTTCCCTAGGGAGGCCACTGAGCTCCGCCGTATTCAGTGACTGGTGTCGTTTCCCGTGGATTCAAAAAGACATGGTGGGATGCATTTGCGTGCTTTGGCCCCGAAATTTCTGTGGTAGAAACAGATGGTCTTGTTTTTACCTTGGGCTGACTGATCCCTCAGTGGACCACTTTGTCGTTCGTGCTGCTGTCGATTCCTCGACCGCGAGCGCCTTCCGTTTCTGTTGGCGTCACGCGGCGCAAGTAGCGTGACCCAGTAGCGGCGATCTCCTGACGCATCTCCCTGAGCATCGCAACCCAGTCAGCATCGCCGCTCGGACACGGTTCCCGAGGTTGCCCAGCCGAACCGACGATGCCAGAGGATGTGGCAGCAATGGTGTCCGTCACAGCGACGCCTGTTGCCTCTAGAACCTCGTCGGAGACCTTAGCTTTATCGTCGAGCGATGCCGAAGCTTGTGATGATCCGAAAAATCGTCACGACGTTAGAAACAGTATTTATAATATTAACAAAGAAAGGCCGAACAACCGCGCGCGGGATAACCGCAAGATCAACAAACAGCCTCACTGTTTGTTATATTTTAGTATAAAAGGTCGTTACAAAACGATATCGAGAGAGATTGATCGGAAAGCTCCTCTCAGACGCACGACCGACCAGAACTCGAAATTCCTAGAGATCCTAGACATCCTTTCCCCGATACCGCTCTGCCGACCGAAGTGGATACGCGACGTCGGCTTCCT